AAAAAAAAAAAAAAAAAAAAAAAAAAAACATTCAAAGATTCAGGGTCAAGACATGTTGTGGCAACACTGTTTATAATAAGACAAAAATTTCAAACAACGAAATGACTGGAATAGAAATGTAATTAAATAACTCCATGCAAGGGAGCAGTGCAGAACAATTTACACAATGCTTTAGATCAGTGGTTTTCAAGGTACAGACCCTGGAGCAGGTATATTAGCATCACCTGAGAACTTACTAGAGTCGCAAATTACCGAACCTACCAGTCTGTGGTTTAACAAGCCCTCCAGGTGATTCTGGTGGATGCTAAAGTTTGAAGACTACAGTTTTAAAGAAATATACAAGGACACAGATTTCCATAAAATATTATGTTAAAACTTTCTATATATATTATATATAAATAACATGTAGGGACTTCCAGTTAAGATGGCAGATTGAGAACATACATTAGGCTCTGTTCTGTCCCACTTCAATTATAAAGAAATTTTTAAAAGATATAAATACGAGAACAAATAACATGGAAAAGGAGACAACGGTAATAAAATTTTAAAAGCCGGAAAGCAAACGGATGGATGATTATTGCCTTAGCAGGGCTGAGAAAGCTGGATTCACAGCCAGCAGTAGGGAAAGCCAGAAAGCAATCTAATTTTCCCCTGGGGACCTCTAAGGAAAGCTCAGGAATCGATTAAACCAGGTACCCCTGGAAACTGAGTGAAGTAGGGCTAATACTGGGAGGAGAGCTTGAAAGTCCGATTAAGAAGAAGTTAGGCACCCAGACTTCTCCCCAAACTCCATGTGGCCAAATGACTGCTCCCCAATCTTGCCAGAAAATTGGAAGTTTCTCCTCTAGAGACAGTAAAACAAAGGGCTCTCTGGGATAGGGCGTCAGTCACATACACAGTTGAAGTAGGGGTATCTTACTGAAAACAGGAGGATTAAGTGAACGTTTACATATTGAGTATTGAGACAACTCCTTCCTCCCCTGAGGCCTTTTTCCCACCCAGTTCCCAGAACAGTCAGGTTTACAACCTCCAAATGGAAAATCTGATCAGCTGGGGGGGAAATAAATTAAAGATGACAATGCTGAAGGTTCACTAAGAAAATAAACCGGAGCAGAGCTGACAAGATTAATCATGGGTAGAAAGTTTCAATCGACTTTTCAATCTCCATTCTTAAACAGGACGAGCCTTCTTAGGCTTGCTAAACACTTGAAGAAATCCTCTAATATAAACAGGCAAGGCCAAAACAAATTTTCAAATCCGTGGGAAATAATATTAATATCCTCAGCAAAATAAGAAAAGATGCTCCACAAAAATGAGGGCGTGAACCAAGAGGGAAGATGAAGTGAGATCAAGGCAATAAGAAATTTAACAAGAGAGAGGTGACAGAATCCTTGGAATGGTGGTAAAGAGATCCCAGAGACAGCTGGGACACAGGTCTAGAAATACATCATTCTAGATCAGAGCAGCTCAGAAGCTCCAGAAAGTCTATTACATAAGATGAAATTGACAGAATATCTAAGGAATTGAGAGATTTTCAGAACTGAGGGGAAGTGTGGAGATACATTAGTAATAAATTATGGATTAGTAATAAATAGATAGAAAACTAAACAAATAACAAGACAATTATCAACTCTGGAAAAACCAAAAGATATACAGAAAAAGTAATCATAGTAAGCTACGTTGTTCAGTTCTGACTAGCATTTATACACTTACAATTTAAGCACCAAAAATTGATCCAGTAAAAAATTATATTGGAAAGATAGAGAATGAGAAATTCATAATTGTGTGTTGGTAACTACATGGGGAGGGGGGCAGTGAAGGATGAGTGAAAGAGCTAAGGCTTCATCTTCCATAGTGGGAATTTAATCGCTAATGTCCAAAACCGGAAATCAAGATGTAGTACTAGAAGCATGCGATAGGGATACGCAGGTTGCAAAAGAGTTGAAAATGAATGCCTCTTGGAAACAGGACATTTCGGGGAGACAATGGACTGCAATTTATTTTTATTTGTTATTTTTGTAATTTATTATAACAAGCCATAAATTTATTTGAATTAACATGCATGTAGAATTCTGATTAAAAAAATTTAAAGAATGATGAAATAGCTCACATTTTTGCAAAACAAAATAATAAAACTCTTTCCCTTTCTCTCTATATATACATGAATAAAAAACCTGAGCTGGGACGAAGTGAGCGAGTGGCATGGACATATATACACTACCAAATGTAAAATGGATGGCTAGTGGGAAGCAGCTGCATAGCACAGGGAGATCAGCTCGGTGCTTTGTGACCACCTAGAGGGGTGGGATAGAGAGGATAGGAGGGAGGCTCAAGAGGGAGGGGATATGGGGACATATGTATACTTATAGCTGATTCACTTTGTTGTACAACAGAAACTAACACAACATTGTAAAGCAATTATACTTCAATTAAAAAAAACAAAAACAAAAAAACCTTTTGGAGTATAGTAGAATACAGTGGCAGTGGTTATTCTGGGGTGATACAATAACTGGTGATTTTATTTTCTTTATGAATATCTGCATTTCTTTGGCCGCACCGCACAGCTTGTGGGATCTTAGTGCCCCGACCAGGAATTGAACCCGGGCCCCGGCAGTGAAATCCTAACCACTGGACCGCCAGGGAATTCCCATGAATACCTCCATTTTATAGTTTTGTAATAAGAGTTGTCTGAATAGTTACACTTAATGTAAAAATGAAAATAAGGCTCTAAGGATCACCGTTTACTAAAAAACAAACATGCAAACAAAACCCCCTAACATAGGTAAATAATCACGATGCTTTCTTTAGAAGGCTTGGATGGGGGGACTTTCCTGGTGGTCCAGTGGGTAAGACTCTGCACGCCCAATGCAGGGGGCCTGGGTTTGATCCTCGGTCAGGGAAGCAGATCCTGCATGCATGCCACAACTGAGAGTCTGCATGCCGCAACGAAGATTCTGTGTGCTGCAACTAAGACCCAGCACAACCAAAATAAACAAAGAAACCAAATAAATAAATATATTTTTAAAAATAAATAAAAGGCTTGGATGGTTTAGAGTCGTAGTCCTCTGGGACTATCTGAGCCAGGCTTGCCTGAAAGCATGGAGAAGGAAACTCCAGAGACTCCATGCAGCCCAATTGTCCTAGGATTCTAACTTCTTTGGACACAAAATGTAACTTAACTGATATCTGTGTCATTGTGCAGTCCAACAAGAAATGTAGATATGCTGAAGAAAACAAAACAAAACAAAACAAAACCAATGAGGATATGCTAATAGGAATTTTTAACCTTTGCAGGGCTAGGGGCTTGCAAATAAGCACTCGATACTTCTGAAGTGTTCTGTTGAAAATTTTATGTAACCATGCTTAATGCAGATTTCAACAATCCCTAACACCAGAGGTTTTGGAAGCTATCTGTCAAAGAACTCTATCAGCACACACCAAGCTTCTAGCAATCTATAATAAATTCTTGGTCTGTTCTTTGAGCTCTGTTTTCCACCACTTTTTCTTTTTTAAAGGCGTGTGGAAACTAATATCATGAATAAATGCTTTCAGGAGGTCTATATCTGTAACCTTAAATATATTCCTTATCTACTTTAAATTATGGAATTAAATCAGAAGGTAAGACACATGTATACACACACATAATATGGTACGCTTTATTCAGCCTGCTATGCTGAGAAATTGGGCGACTTATCTTTGACTCTTGTCTGTCTTACCTTATGGCTAAGTTCTGCCATTTCTCTGCTGCAACTTTTCTCTGAAAATTCTGAGCCCACACCTATCTTTACGGAGCTAGCATCCTTTGTGGATCTACTTACTGTTTAGCTCCCTTTAAAAACCACACCAAAAATCTCATGTAGAGACGATGTACCTTTCTAAAAATTGCACTAAGATTTCATTTAGTTTACCTTTCTCCTTGCCATATGATTCAACAAGTCATTCTTCCTCGCTAGGCCAAGTTTCCCTCCTTGGAATATGAAGAGATTAGACTATTTTTAAGATGCATTGCCAGCTAGTTTGATTCTCATCTTACCTGATTGTGATGCTTTGATGATGGGGAAAGGCTTTTGAGTGTGGACATCAGGCTGAGATTCTGCTCCACTTTCAACAAAAGAAGGACAGCTCAGGTCACTCAGCAGCTCAGGCTCACTGTCCCAGTCTGAATGACTTGGATTATCTTCTAATACCTATTTTGTAAAATGTATAAATTATGATTTTACAGGAATTTACAACATAATTAATTTCCACAAACATCAACAATTCCTGAGCATCACAAACACCAGAAAAGGACCCCTCTAGAGACCTGCAGCCGTCCGCCCAGTCCCCGCGACCGGAAGAGCCCGACTTCCGCACGTGCTCCCCAGCACCTCCCGGCAACGCTTCTTGGAGAAGGGCTTCAGTCAAGCGTGAGCAAGGAAACAGGCAGACATGTCAGGCCTCCTTCTCTCTGTAACTAACACCTCTCTTGCAGCTCTAGTATCAACACCAATAAAAACATCAAGTGTCAATAATGACTCCAGGCACGCTAAGGCTTGACAAGGATATACTCTTACCCTTGTTTAATTTTTCACACATGTATTGTTGGAATGGTGGTCAGAGTGTCCCTAAGAAAGGTCAGCGGGCTGGCTACCTAAAGGCCTCACTGACTGACATTACCTTGGGGAACTGATCACAGTCAAAAAGCCATGCTCTCAACCACGCAGGCCAAGAAACTTGATCTTATTATGAGGAGATAAAGCTCATGTTAAAGAAAACCACAAGAGAATGAGACAAAAAAAATCAGGGACAGGATAATGCTTGCGTGTTCTGTCAAGCACATCCCCTCCAACAGGCGAGCCCACGAGGGGCCAGGCAACCATAAAGCTGGCTGATAAGCGGAGACTCTGAGAAAACCGAAGCAATCCTGAGGAAACGTCCACAGGCTCCCGCAGGCAACCGTCTGCCGGCAGCTCCACCACGCGCTCTGCCCTCCATCGGATTCTTCTGGTGTGCTCTCCACGCTCCCCTCTAAAGCCAGTGTCTCCCTTTGTGCACTCGATCCCACCCACTTTCTACTCAAAGGTTAGCACTCACTTCTATTCATTCTCCATCAAGAATTTCTTCTTTCTCCTGTATCGTTCCTATCAGTGCACCATCATGAATTCCACTTGAAGAAAAAAATTCCCCTTGACTCCAGCTACAAGGCGATTTCTCTGTACTTCTTCACAGCAAAGTGCCCAGAGAGAGCTGTCCAGACTCGCTGGCTCCAATTCCTCTCCTCTCCGTCCCCCATTCCAGGCGGAGTTTTGATCCCACTGCTCCGCTCTTCAACTGTCAGCCCTCTCCCTTCCTGAGCTGGAGGCAGCATTTCTCCCAGTGGATCACTCCCCTCCTCTTGAAACACTCTGTCCCTTGGTTTCTAGAATGCCCCCTTCACTCCCTAGGCTTTCCTCCCACCTCACCAGTGGCTCCTCAGGCGTCTTTGCTGATTCCTCCCTCTTTTATCCCAGACACCTTAACCCTAGCGTGGCCCAGAGCTCAGTTCTTGGTCCTCTTCTCTGTCTTCACTCCTCAGGGATGTCATCTGGTCTTGTGGTTTTAAATACCATTCACTACATATATTGCTTTCAATTCTAAAATGCACTCCCATGTCTCCGCATTCTAACATCCCTGAAATCAGGATGTGCCTTACAATCAGAGGCATGTCATGATTTAATTTGCAGCATTATCTTTTCTTGGAGGTACTTAAAATAATGGTGCATCTTACAAACAATGGCATTTTAGTTTTGATTATAGCGTAAGCTGCCAGCTTCTAAATTTACATCTCCAGCCCAGACCTCTCCTCTGAGCTGAAGATCTGCATATCTGAGGACGTGACATTTCCTCTTGGATGTCCAAAAGCTATCTCAAATTTATGCCCAAAACTGAACTATCATTATTCCTGCTCCACCTGCTACTTCTTTTCTTTTTTATTTATTTAATTTATTTAATTTTATTTATTTTTGGCTGCATTGGGCCTTCGTTGCTGTGCGCGGGCTTTCTCTAGTTGCAGCGAGTGGGGGCCCCTCCTTGTTGCGGTGCGCGGGCCTCTCGTTATGGTGACCTCTCTCGTTGCGGAGCACGGGCCCTAGGCGGGCAGGCTTCAGCAGTTGCGGCATGCAGGCTCAGTAGTTGTGGCTCGCGGGCTCTAGAGCACAGGCTCAGCAGCTGTGGCACACGGGCTTAGTTGCTCCACGGCATGTGGGATACTCCCGGACCAGGGCTTGAACCCATGACCCCTGCACTGGCAGGTGGATTCTTAACCACTGCGCCACCAGGGAAGCCCCCACCTGCTATTTCTAAACTTCTTGTTCTTAGGACCTATTTCTTTCACTGCTGGGTCACTAAATTCTGCATGTGGAACCTACGAGACCCCAACCAAAGAAGGAAACACTGGGCCAAGTTTCTAAGCTCTTGACAAAAGTCTGTCAAATAGATTCAGAATCTCTTCCCAGCCCTGGAGAGTAAGTATCACACATAAAACACATCAAAGCTTACCAAACCCACGTTTCTCAGCAGTGGAATCCTCCCCTACCCCAAATAAAATGATCCATGGCACACTTACAAAGCACTAACAGCAAACTGCTAAAAATCTAACTGCTTTGACGGATGGGGGTGGGTGGTGAAACACCCAGATGATAACTGAGCTGAATCTTGAAACACCAAGTAAAGGAAGTAGGTGTTCCAAGCAGAAAGAATAATATACGCAAAAAAGCTTTTAATAGCACAATGGTAGAAATTCCTTAAGCTTCTATTTAGAAACTTAACCACAAATTTCTTTGTTTTCAACTGGTCAAATAAGACATCAATGTCTTATTTGGGGTCAGTGTCTAGATCAGTGACCCTGTCCTTCTGGACTGTAAAGGAAACCTCTTCACTGAAAACCCTCTGACAAGCATCATAAACCCAGGTAAGGCTGAACCTCATCTTCATCTCTACCCTTCACTAGACATGTTTTCTGGTCCCACTTTTCAGATTTGTGACTTACCGTAGTTTTCCTTCTACTGGTATAAACTGGGTTTTTACAATATGCCTGCTTGCTCTTCTGAAGGTAGCGCTTCCAAAAATTATGTAAAACTTCATTCTAAGGTAGAAGGGAAATGAGTGGTGCTTCAGGTTATGATGAAAAATATACTGGCACATCTACACCACAGAATCGCTACTCTCCTGCACTTTACATACTGCTTCCATCTATATGTATTCTTACCTTTCTTACCTAAATTTCCTTAAGAAGAATGATCATTTCAATGTCAGGTATACGGGAAGCATGGAATAAATTCTTCTTAATCTTAGATTTTAGTTCCTTATAGTCACCTAGTTGAATCCCTTCCTTTGACAAGTTAAGCAAATTAAGATTCAGAGAAAGAAAGTAACTTACATGTGACTACACTTCCAGTTAGGGGCAAAGCTGCTACTGGGTCCAGTGACCTATTGACACCCCTCCCTCTTACTGCCCCCACCCTCGTCCAAGTGAAAGTAAAACAAAACAAACAAACAAAACAATTTTCCATTTATTCATCACCTACCTGCTAGGTACAAGGCATCCATAAGCTTTAACACAATCCTGCAAGATAGCTACTATCTCTTATTTTACCACTGAAGAAACTGAGTAACTTTGCCAAAATGACCTAGCCAATAAGTAGAAAGGCCATGAATGGGATTTGGAGTCGGTCCCGATTCCAGAGCCTGTGTTCTGGCTGTGCCAGTTAACTGGTCAGGTCTAAACGGTTATACTCATGGGTTAATTTCAGAGAAACTGTTTTCAGGATTAATCCCGATGAAGCAGATAGAAGGCTACACAGGTATAAACCCTACTGAAGCTAGTTGGTGTAACTAATAGAAACCACTTATTGAAAAACACTTATACACAGGATGACTGCAAGGAGAAACCAGATTCACAAAGCCCAGACTACCAGTAATCTTACCTGACGCAGTGACTGTCATGGGTAAGGCTCAGAGTCCACTTAGGCCATGCACTGGCCTACGGGTCATCCTGCCAGCCTGCCGCAGACACTGGTTTGAACAGCAAAGGCTGCTTTACGAATCTCTTCTTGGTGACTTCAGGAGACACTGACCTTTCTCCCTTTTCTTTTTGCTCTTATTTTCATTTATGAGCATACTGCTATATACTGTCGTGTTTACTCACGCCACATATGCATGAAACCCTCTCTCCAGCTAAGCTGAATCCAGCAGCATCACTGTCATCTGGAAACTTGTTAGAACTGCAAATTCTTGGGCCCTACTCCAGACCTACTTAATCAGAAACTCTGGAATGAGGTCAAGCGATCTGTGTTTTAACAAGCCTTTTAGGTGATTCTGATACACACACACTCAAGTTTAAAAACCACTGGTTTAATGTATCACTCCACAAAGCGCATTCTCTGGAACTCAAGTCCCGATGGATGCTACCCACACGTATACATGCCAAAGGATTTTGCTCTCAAATTGTGAATACTGCATACGACATACCCTAGGAAATTAAAAAGCACACTAACACATAAAAGGCACCAATAAGTGGGCAAAGTTATTTGTTTTACTTTAACCCAGTGTTTCCTAAATACCTGAAGACTAAAACCTTATTTTCTTTTGGACGTATTACTTATTTCTATCCTGTAGAACACACTTTAGGAATTGCTGGTCTAGTAAAACGATTGAAGCAAAATCATCAGAAAAATGATTCTTTCTAGTAGGCCTCGTGTTATTACTGATAGCCCTCCTTAGTATCACTCTAAGTCTACTGTTCTTCAAACAACAAAATGTAAAGCTAACATCTAGGCACAAATGGACTTACCTTTAACTCTGGGCCTACTCCAAGGGTCTGTAAGGCTTTTGCTTGTTGATAAAGTATGTGCTGAAAACCTTCGCACACATACCAATCCCAGCCTTTCTCTAAATGACAAATGACAGGTTTCAGATATTTGCATTCCCAACTTACTAAATGTAATGGTGCTACATAGTTACAATTGTGTTTTATACACTTCAACTGGAATTTTTTCATACCCCTGAGTAGAGTTTCCATTCTTATACTCTCTTGCTTCCCATCTGGCAAATCTGTACATAAATGCTAAAGCTAAACAACATTTTTATAATTTATCAGATTTTAAATATTTTAAATTATCTATAGTTTTTCTGAAATGTTAATGTTCAGAGACAGAAAAATGAACAGTCACCACATTAAAAAAATGAAATAAGTTTTATAAATGTATACTGTACTGAACAATGGCCAGCAGAATCCTAAATGAAAGGATACTCAACACTCAGCCACTGCTTGTATGACTCCTCTGTTCCAACTCACATGGAAAGGGAACAATGAGTATTTGGAGAATGAACGAACAGAAGTGAAGATGTGAAGCTCCAAGATCGCAGGAAAGGGCAATAAGAATATACAAAGAAAATAAACTGCTCAACGGCATTCTCCTTTTCTCAAGATGGTTCTAGGTTCTTGGGTGAAACTGAAAGCAAGGCAGCTAAGATTTATTGAGCTCAGCCTAGTTACCAGGTATTTTAAGTAGGTTATTTTCTTCCAACCTCAAAACAACCTTAAGAGATTGTGACGAGAACTGCCACTGCAATGGACAAAGCTACATGTTTAAATAAAACTACCAGTTGAAGAGAATGTTAAAATCTGTTAAGACCTTATGTTTTACCCCTCCCTACTGGACAAATACTGTAACTCTCTGAAAAATATGTTATGAGCACACAGCTTCTGAAGTCTGTTACCATGACTCCAAGAGGTTCTTCTCTCCCCTCAGAATGTCACAGGACTCCTATGCCCTTCCCTTACCTCAAATGTCACAAGGCCTTCCCACCCCTGCTGACTAACGCACTTTCTGGAAAGGGTCTTAGCTTGTATAGGAGTAAAATAGGAAGCCTGTAATTTTGACGCTTTCCAAAGGTGAGGGAGTTTAAACTCTCCAAGCTCTATCCATGTGTGCTCTCTCCTTCCTGCACACTGCTCTGACAAACTGATAAAGTCGTATTTTAAATTCTCAGTCTGGGTTCCTATTCTATATAATAAATGGTTTTACATTCTCACTTTACAGATGAAGAAGCAACTAAGGACAAAGAGGTTGAATATAAGACTCAACATTTAATTTGAAGCACCTGATGTTCCTTCAGCAATTTAAGTTTAAAATATACAATTTTAACTATTAGATAGGTCAAGTCCAAATTAATCAGGTTTTACTCTAATAAAATTTAATTAAAATTAATCAGGTTTAGCCTAATAAAAATAGTCACTACTAAAGGTTAAACAGGAACATGAGTTGGCATTTTGGCAGTCTCTCTGTTATTCATCTAAGAACAGCAATGTATTTCATATAGACATTTCATTAACATTTATACATATAATATATTTCATGTGTGTATCCTTAAAGCTACCTCAGATAGAAGAGTCCACCATTACCATTAGCCTAGTTTCAAACCTGAGAATCTGGCCCTAGGCAATTAGTCACAGAAATAAAAAGCATCAGCTAAACTTAACCTCAGATTCTTCTCAATAATGGTTAATTATTATGTACTCACTGGATTAATGAAATAGAGTACTTTTCAAAGCACACCCATGCTGAGCTTATTTTAAGGGAAAATAATTTTCCCTATTTTAAATGGGTGTGTTCAAAATTCAGTGTGAGAAATGGATTTCTGAAAGCTGAATATCATGTTTAACTTGCCTAACCTGACAACTCCACAGCTGATTCATTTCAGAAAATAAGCATTTTTCTTTAAAAGCACAGAAAATCATATAATAGATAACAGATATAAAACAGAAAAACATACACCAACACACAAAAAGAAATATGCTACATTTGCTAAGATTATTTTTGGCATAATAGTTGCTCCACTGGAAAATCAAGTCATTAACAATAAGCAGAATAAAAAATGGACATGTTTTAAGACATCTGCTTCCAATTTTACCATCAACAATTATCCACTCTAATTCTACTTTGGATTACCTGCTTAAAATTCTGGCAACTGCTTTAGAATCTCTTTAAAATTCCATTCCACATCCCCAAATCATGAAAGTGAAAACATGATTGAAAAATGCTAAGCACATATGAAGAAAGAGCTTACCAAGTTTTCGTTTTCTTTTAAGTCCCCGGTTGATGGCTTGTATTTTAGTATTAGGAATAGCCCCAGTGTTTATAACTTCCCTAGATCTCTGCAGGAAATAGAAGCAGACCATTAAAAAGACCATAAAAAGATAGTTTTACATCTCCTTAACTATACTGCCAAGCATGCTCTGGCATGTATAATGAACCAGATTGTGAGTGCCAGGACCAATGATGGTAATATTTTGGGAAAATTAGATAAAGTGTAACATTCTGGTTAGCCTTTATATTGCTTTTTTTTTTTTTGCGGTACGCGGGCCTCTCACTGTTGTGGCCTCTTCCGTTGCGGAGCACAGGCTCCGGACGCGCAGGCTCAGCGGCCACGGCTCACGGGCCCAGCCACTCCGCGGCATGTGGGATCTTCCTGGACCGGGGCACGAACCCGTGTCCCCTGCATTGGCAGGCGGACTCTTAACTACTGCGCCACCAGGGAAGCCCTATATTGCTTTCTGATTCAAAATTTCTCAGTACCTAAAACTGTGCCAGGAACACAGTAAACACTAAATAAATGTATGTTAAATGAATAAACTTTTATTTTAAATCGATTTTTAATTGTCTGAAACCAATCGTAAAGTCAAATTTATTCACTTTTTTCTCTATCCAAAACATACTTTGAAATTAAAATAACTTCTGTATTCACTGTAGTCAGCAATGCCTAAGCTACATACAGATTAGTTTCATCCTACTTTTCTATGTGTTTGAATAATACTCCAAAACAGCTTTATTTATGAAATTATAAAAGTGCTACTTTTATTCTTAATCAAACCTATAGGATTTAAGAATGACTAAATGCTGAGTACAGTTCATCCCAAAGTCTTCAATTCTAAGTTCTCTCAAGGGCTGGTATCTAAGATTCTGGTTCTCTCACAACCAAAATATAAAAGAATTAGGTCTAAATGATGGGGAAAAGGTGAAGATTTTTAACCAACAGGGAACATTTATATATTTGTCCAAATTTAGAGATTTGGAATGAAATTTATCTTCAACTTTCATTAAGAACAAAAGAAATGTCTCTAACAGGATTTTTGGAATACATCCTCTCTTGTTAAAGAAACCACATTCAAAGCAGTTCTGGTGGACTGGGTTGGCCACACTGAGAAAATAAGACATGTCAGAATACACACCAAAGCAGTTACCCAGCAAAAACAGGTAAAACCTATAAACAGTAGGCAAGAAAAAAAAAAAAAAAGGGCTTAAAATCTGGATTAGACAAAATGTGAAATAACTAAAAGCTAGAAAAAGCTACATATACAAACTGAAGCTGTAACTAATTAAATTACTGAATAGTTATATTGTGGAATATTTATACAGTCAATTAACACGTCCACAAATGTTTAGAATAACACAGGACAATATTTATTAAGACAGAAGATTCAGTGGTACTCACCCACATCCCCTTTCCCTTCTCATACACAGAAAAAAAAAAAAAGAAGACTAAATGGAAGCTATGAAAAGAAATGTTGTATGTTGAGATCACTGATAATTTTAGCTTTCATCTTCATAATTTCTAAATTTTCTACAATAAATCTGCTCTTATGATCATAAAAATCTATTAAACTCACACAATTCTAGCATACACCTTTATTAAATACCCACAAAATACTTCCGAGAATGTCTATAATATAAATTGGCCGGATTTAAGACCTGAAAATTTTTTTCCTGTATAAAATCAATCAAGATAACATTCTAATTCCTTTATCAATTCAGAAGGCCTTCTTCCAGACAGTGGAGTATCTAAAACATGAGAATTATATACAGAGTAAGTTGAAGGGCAATGAAAGGAGCAGAAAAACAGGGGAAGTTGTGCCACAGCCTCCACTCTTTGGAGGTGCAAACCACCATCTCGTCGGCCGTTCCCCACCCGCTGGATTTCCACACCGCCACGCCACACCCCCGCTCTCCAGGAAGGACTGATTGTGTCACACTCTATATGAAGACAATAAAGCCAAGAGAAACCACTTAAGTTGTGCAACACAGAGCTCTGCCTATCACATGGGAGGCATTGAGACAGGTTCTGCGTCTGTTTAAAGATGGTGCCCACCCTCAAGAATGCTACATTCTTGACAAGTTATTCCATACAGGCTGATATCTTTCAAATGTGGAAACAGTGGCATTAGGGGCTTTCAAGTTAAAAAACGACTGCAGCGGATTTTATCAGACAGAAACAAACAGAAACATTATCAAAGACAGAAATAAAAGAAAGCAATTAGTTAACGTAGTTTAATTTCTCCAAAAATAGTATATGCTGACTTCATCTGCTAACGATAAACAGTCATTTAGACACATCTTCCTTCACCATGTTTACATCTGCACTGCTGGTACAAAAGCAAAAACTATTAATGCCTCAATATACATCAAAGCAAACTGCACAAATTTAAAGTGTACAAGTTGATGTGTGTGTATATCCACGAGACCATCACCACAAACAAGGTAATGAACATATCCATCACATCAACAATTTCATCGAGTACATATCTTTTTTTTTTTTTTTTTTTTTGTACATATCTTCTTAATACTCTGTGTGACCAAATGGGAAGCCGACTGAAGAACAAAGATTGTCTCAAGGAAAAGCTCTTGGGTGATTGAGTTGCAAGCGACATTAACCACTTTTCTCAAGAAAACTATTTTTTACTTCATACATTTTGTCCAGGCTTTTAGTTGTTTAAGGTGGGCTCCTGTTACTTCATCCTGGCCAGAAGAAGTTCACACAGTTACTTATATTTGTCCCAAATTTACCTTTCTTATATAGGCCTATACGGCAAAGGTAGTATATCTGTTCCTTCCTGGCTCTGTAGACTTTGAGCAAATCCTTTTCCAGAGAGCAGAGTCCTGGCATGTTTAGCCTGTCCCAGAGGACCTAGCACTCCCAGTGTGAAGGCAGCCTCATTTACCAAGGTTCCTCAGGACAGTAGGCCAACCTCTACCTTAAGAGACAGGTGTGGTGGAATAAAATGACCGCTGACGTTGGAAGCCTGAGGTTCAAGTCCTGGCTCAGCGCTCTATCCATGTGACTATGGCAAACTCACTCAATTGATGAGCCTTGCTTGCCCCTTCTACAGATAGGTGTAATAGTAAACACATCTCACGGGTTGTTATGAGGGGATGAATTAACGGATGAGAAAACACTCTGTAATGTGTAAGGCACTGTACAAAGATATAATGACGATGAAGCACATTTCTCATACTCCCAACAGTCTTTCTAACATTCCGTCTTCCAAACCTCTAAGCTACCACAATACATTAAGAACTCTTAAATAAGTGGTAACTAATAAAAATAAATGCATCATCTTGTAAGTGCAATTTTAATTATTTCCCCTTATATACATACTACACAGTCTGAATCAGGAAAACATTTATATATGTGGCCCAACATAATTTCAAAAGCTCATCCTAAATCTACCTTACAAAGTCTTCAACCCTGTGTAAGCATTTGAGGACCACTTACATTTTTCATATTTGGACATTGCCTGAGTAATAAAAATAGATCAGTTTTGGGGGGACCTATGCCACATGTTAGGCTGAAACTGCAACTTTTAAAGCACAAGCAAATTCATAAATGAGGTCTGTTACTTACTTCTGTAACATTGTGGCAAGAAGTGCAATAATATTTGCCTTCATCAGTGAGACCCCAAGAGACAGCAGCGCACTGAGAACAACGGTCTTTGAACTCTTTCTGTAGGAGAAAAGGAAAACCACATTCAATACATTGTATCTAAATGCTGCAGTTCTACTTAGAGGGTTCCCTACAATTTTACTCTATAAATAAAGAATCACTGAGAATAGAAAATATACCAGAGGGATTCTCTATAAACAAGAAGAACAGTTCAGTCTGAGCCATTTGAAACTGAATTAAACTATTAAATGTTTCTAAAATATGCAGTGTGTGAGGGTGAAAAAAAAAAGACAAAGAAGACAAGGTGGTAGGGGTAAAGTGGGAAAAAAAGATGAGTAAATAAAACTCCTTGAACATGCTGTGGGGAAAAAGATGATAAGATTCAAGAATAGAGAAGATTTAAAAAATAGAAATAGCATACCATTTGGAACTTCCTCCAGGACACTAAGAACACATACCCACCACAAAGGAGCCACAGTTTTATTAGGGTTGTTTCAAGTTTCGATTTGTTCACGCAGCAATATAATGTATAATGTATAATGTATGTACTAGGCACTTAACTAGGTGCTGGGGATTTGAGGGTGAGCAAAACAGACAAGATCCCTACTCATAACTATATACGACGCTAATGGTGAGTTCTAATTGCTAATTTCATTAACCTAGCATCTACAGACGTTAACCCTCATTCAGTAGACATTTATTGAGCGTCTACAATGAGTAAGGCCTTCTATCACCATAATGCTTCCGTACATACATAGACTGGCACCAAATTATCCATTCGCAACTCTCTGGTGCGTGAAATCTTATTATTGTTGATCTAATTACCGACTGTTCCTCCACCATCAAAGAGTGGCATTTTATGAAGTGGGTCAAAATGCATGCCAAATCTACTTCAACAAGTTGGTCAAGTTTTCAGCGACTCCATGTGGATAACTATCGTAATCTTGGAGTGTCCCCAAACCCGAATTTGGAATTCCTGCACAGGCCATGGCTAAGATTCGCAGAGACACCAGCAGGGGTTACTTGGGGGCGTTCTGGTTCCAAGCCCCGCCTCCCTCGCCTAACCTCCAGCATCAAAGGGAACTTCTGGGTGGTCCCGTTTAGAGATGAGACACGTGGGTGGCCACCCCACAAAACCCACAACTTCAGCCTCCTCCCGAAACATACCCACATCGACGAACACCCCACCGTCCCTTCACCCACAACCTCACCCAGCCAGAAACTCCAGCCTCTTCCCCCAAAGCGCGGGCACACGCGGCCCGCCAGCCCCGCCAGCCCCATCCCTGTCCCCACGCCGCAGCCTTCCGCCCCGTTCCCCTTCGGCCAGTGGCCGCCCCCACAGCCAACCGGCGTCCTCCACCCCTACTCCTCAGCCTCCCTTCCCTCCCGCCCCGCCGTCCTACTGCGCGGCACTCGGCCCCCTCACCGCCTCCTCCAGGTCCATAACGCCAACAACAACAACAACAACGCCGCCGCCGCCGCCGCCGCCGCCCGTTACCCCGGCAGCGAGAGCAGCTTCCGGGAGCGGCGGGAAGAGCCCTCCGGGCGGAAACCGATACCCTTGACTTTGGATTTCCGTCTCTTGCTAGCTCAGGGATGAAGCGCCACTGATTCTGCATCCCCAGGCAGCATCCCTTTCCTAGTCGAGGTAACTAAAACCAATCAGTAAAAAAGTGGGCGGTGCCTACTGCTGAGAGGATTCAGTCTCTGTTCCCGCAGCCGTTCCGGCCCGGCAGCTCTCCTGCTCTCGGGCTGCGAGGGGGGAGCGGTGGCGTGGACTCAGAGCGCTCGGGGCTCTCCACCTGGTTCTGGCACAGGAGAGGCACCGGGTTCTGGAGAAAAGAACACGTGGTTGAGTTAGACCTGGGTATGTAATCATGGCTTTTCTGCTTCTTTGTGCCTCAATTTCCTCCTCTGTAAGAATTAGGTGTTATCTGTGGGTCCCTCGCGATGGAGCCGCACATGGTAAATGCTCATTAAATTTAGCTTTATTGTTGTCCCTTCATTGGGCACTTTCATTTCATTAAACAGGCGCTGTTTTAGGTCTTGGGGATTAAGCAGTGAACAAAGTAAACAAAAATTCCTGCCTTTATGGAGATTATAATCTGGTGGGGAGAGACAAAAATACATAAGGAGAATATATGGTATGTTAAACGGGCATGAGTGCCAAGGAGAAAAATAAAACAGGAAAGGAGAATGGGAGCCATACTATGGTTTCAGTTTTAAATGGAGTGGTCAAGAAAGGTCTCCCTGAGATGGTGACCTTTGAGGCAAGGGAGCAAGAACCATGTTGGGAACCTCATTCCCGGCAGAGGGAACAGTGAGTACCAAGGCCCTAGTCCTGAACCTCATGCCGGACCATTTAAGGATCAGCAAGGAGGTGAGCGAGTAGCTGGAACAGTGAGCTAAAGGGAGAGTAGAAAATGAGGCAGGGACAAATTACAGCTCTAAGGACTTAGACTTGGAGAAATTAGAGACGCCGTTGGGGGAGTTACACAATCTTACATGTTTAACAGATTACTTTGGCTGTTGTGGGGAGAGTAGACTGCTAGGGGGCAAACGTAGAAGTTGGGAGGCAAGTCAGGAGTCTGTTACGATAATCCTGGTAGCTTGAACCAGGTAAAAGCAGCGGAGACAGTGAGAAGTAGACAGATTCTGGAAATGTACATTTTGAAGGTAGAACCATAAGGATATCTTGATGGATAAGAAGCCCATCAAAGCAGCTGTCGAGGATGAAGGGAGTCAAGGATAACTTAAAGATTTTTGTCCTGAGCACCTGGAAGGGTGAAGCTGTATTTGACAGAGTAGGGGCAGACTATGGGTGGACGAGTTTGGGAGGGGGGTAGAGGAGGAATCAGGAATTTGACTTTGGACCTGTGAAGTTAGAGATGCTTACAAGACCTCTAGGTAGGATGAGAAGGCAATTGGATATAGCAGTCTAGCATTCAGAGGCAAGTTCTGGACTGGAGATATATATTTGGGATTTATCTCTGTCTAGATGGTATTTAAAGTCATGAGAGTAGAGAAGATCACCAAAATCTCCTTATTCACCTGTCAATTCATTTCTTTTGCAAAGTCGTTAAACACGCACTATGTGGCAGGCACTGTGCCAGCAATTGGGAAATGAGAGATAAACAGGACAGGGTCCTTGCCTTCAAGAGGCACCCGGTCCAGTGGAGCATTCAGTCTTATTATTTTAATCATGGCATTAGATAAATGCTCTTCTCCAGCTGTGTCACCCAGGTCATTTACCACGCTTGGCTCTGAAACTTCAAACTCTTTCCAAAAAACCTTACCCATCTTCAAAGCATTAAGTATTGTCATATGAACAGCTTGATTATAGGCCTGTAATTTTCTAGACAAACCCTGATTTCAAATGTTGAAATTTTACAATGGGAAGGGGGCACTGCTGAATGCCCAGCTAAACTGGAGTTAGTATGTTGAACGGAAATACGAGCACCATAGCATCAGGAAGTTTTGTCTTTTTGTTTATTGCTGTATACCCAGGGCCTAGAACAGTACTCAGCTTATAGAATGTGATCAATAAATATTTGTTAAATGGATAGATGACTTTGTAAGATTTTTACATATATGCAAAAGAGTTTAAAGAGATGACGTATCTTGATTTGAGGCTTTGGACATGTGGTTGCACAGAAATGAGTCACAGATTTTCCCAGCCATTCCTTAACAGAAAATTGAGTGTTTTGAGCAAAGTCAGACTCCTTGGAAGAAAATGTCTTCTTAGACTGTAAGACTTAGATGACTATTTCAGCAGAGAAGCTTTAATATGCATTTCTTAAAACTGGTTCACATGCCATTGCTGACCTGTCAGATTGGCACAGATGATTTTTGCTTAATGGAAATAATCAGTGGCAGAAGGGCTCAGTGAGATGGACTCTGTCTTGTACTGCAGGTGTGAGTGAATGTGGGTATATTTCTTGAGAAAAATTCAGCTGCATAACAGGTGATATGGTGGAGCAATATTGAGGCAATGCCAAGAAGAGGAAACAGGGAAATAAAATTAGAATGGAGATAATAAACCCTTACAGGGATTGAAGAGTCCCTGGGCCAAGATTTGATATAACACCAAAGCCTGATTGAAGGTATTAATATATCTAAAGAAAGAATGTGTAATCAGCAAGAGATGTATTTAGCCCTTCAATCCTAACAAAAGGAGGACCTAACCATAGCAAGGACCCCCACACCACTCTTATGCCCACGCAGTTAACGTCCCCAGGGAACCATACCTCTTAAGTGACAGACACATAATCCAACACAAACTATTATTCAATTCTGCCTGTAGGGAGAGAGGACACTGAATATAAAGGATATTTTCTCTGGGTGTAGATTACTGGATTAGCAGTTGTTCTTTCAGCTCTCTGAAGACATGGTTCCATTTCTTCTAACTTTCATTGTTTCTGTTGAGAAGTCAGCTGCAAATGTTATCAACTATATGCTAAGTAACTAGAAAATTCCTAATTGTTTGGAAATTAAGCAATAAACTTCTAAACAGCCCAATCAACTGAGCAGTCACAATGGACTGACAGAACATTTTGAACTGAATAAAAATGGAAATGTATCATAGCAAAATTATGAAATGCACTTAAATCTGGAGGGCAATTTATAGCCTGAAATTCATGGATTAGAAAAAAGAAAGGCTGAAAATCAATGATAGAGACATACATCTCAAGAAGTTAGAAAAAGAAGGTTAAACCAGATAATAATAATAATAATAGAAGGAAGGAAATTAAAAAGAAGAGAGATTAATAAAAGAAAAAGCAAACATTCAGTGGGGATGGTCCACAAACTAATATTAGCTCTTTAAAAAGAATCATAAATTCAGTAAACCCTGGAAAGACCAATCAAGAAGAAAAGCAAAATTAACCAATATTAGAACAATAAAAGTGACATCACTACAGATACCATAAACATTAAAAAGATCATAAGAGGATACAGCTCTAAGACAATAAATTTGAAAATGTTGATGAATGGACAGATTCCTAGAAAAACACATAATCAAGAGCTATGCAAGAAGAAATACAAGATTTGAACAATCTTATACCTATTTAAGAAACTGACTCTATGAGTAAAAAAAAAATTTCTCACAAAGAAAACCTCAATCTCAAATGGCACAGCTGATAAATTCTACCAAAATTTTGCGAAAGAAATAACACCCATCTTACACAGACTATTCCAAATAATGAAAAAAGAGAGAGCAGTTACCAATAAATTTTGTGAGCCTACCTTAAACTTGATGCCCAAATCTGACAAGGATATTTCAAGAAAAGTAAAAATTGAAGTCCATTCTCTCCTCAGGACAAATGAAATATCAGCAAATTGAATGCAAGTCCTTTGCTGTATTCAACAATATATAAATAGAACAGTAAATCAAAAGGACATTGGGTTTATTCTAAGAATGCAAGGTTGGTTTAACATTGAAAAACAATAACAACAACAATTTAAATAGTAATCCAGATAGTGTGGTGCAAGGATAGACAAAAGATCAATGGAACTGAATACAAAGTCCAGAAACTGACCCATAGATACATGTAAGATAACCTGATTTTCAACAAAGGTGCTGCTAAAATTCAGTGGGGAAAGGATTGTTCTACAGTAAATGATTCTGGATCATTTGAATTGAATTCATATGAAAATTATTGACCCCCTATCTCACACAAAAATTAATTTGAAATGAATCACATACCTACCTGTGATAGGTAAAACCATAAAGCTTCTAAGAAAAAAAAAAAGTAGGTAAATATGTTTATGGCTTAGGATAGGATAGATTTCCTTAAAAGATCACAAAACAGCACTATCCATGAAAGGAAAGATTGTTATATTGGACTTCGTTAACATTTAAAGTTTTAGTTCATCAAAAGACATTGTTAAGGCAAACAAAAGACTGAGAGATGGTATTCATAATTCATATATTCAACAAAAGACTTATCTCCATAACAAAGAATTCTTACAAATCAATTAAAAAATAATTAAAAATAGGCTAGACTTGAACAACTAGTTCACAAAAGAGGACAGCTAAAAGAACAATAAATATATGGAAAGGTGCTTAACATCATGGGTCATCAGAAAAACGAAAATTAAAACAACAATGATAGGGGACACGGGTTCGTGCCCCGGTCTGGGAAGATCCCACATGCCGCGGAGCGGCTGGGCCCGTGAGCCGTGGCCGCTGAGCCTGCGCGTCCGGAGCCTGTGCTCCACAACGGGAGAGGCCACAACAGTGAGAGGCCCACGTACCGCAAAACAAAAACAAAAACAAAAACAAAACAATGAGATGCCACCACACATCTACCAGAACGACTAAATATTTTTTAAAAATTGAAAGTATCAAGGTTCGCCAAGAATATGGATGAATTGGGTCTCTTCTACTTTCCTGATGGGAGTATAAATTGAATATTTTGGAAAAGTCTTGGAAGTTATACTAAATCTATGCTAATTATGACCCAGTAATTCCACGCCTAGATATATACCCAAGGTAAATTAGTGCATATGTTCACCAAAAGATATGTACAATTATTTTCATAAACCTTTCTTTATAATAGCCAAAAATTACAAACAACCAAATGTCCATCAACAGGAGAATGGACAAGCAAATGTGATTTAGTCATCCAATGGAATACAGTACAGCAATGAAGAAGAATGAACAACTGCTACATAAAACAACATGAATGAAACACAATGACATGCAGAAGAAGCCTATGGCGAATTTAAAATGGCCTTAAATTTTTTTGCCATTTCTCGCATTGGTTCTTGAAGTAGAATATGATGTAATAAAAACCTGGGACTTCCCTGGTGGCTCAGTGGTTAAGAATCCACCTGCCAATGCAGGGGACATGGGTTCAAGCCCTG